ATTTCAAACAGATGCTACAAGCAGCTTAAACTAAAGCACACAACTTTGCACTGAATGAGGATGAGGAACATTCATATGCTGTTTCAAAAGGCTCAGCTGTGAAGTCACTAATTTCTGGCTGAAAGGGTGATAATATTTTCAACTGCTGCAGCTGTTCATGGATTTTTGTCTGACCATGGCCAAGTTTGCAGTTTTCACATATGTCTACTTTTCCATGGCAGATCTCAGAATATAACACTGTACAGGTACGTGAAGTACATGTTCAGTCCTCCAGTAGGATGCATTTCTGAACATGCAAAGACAAAGATGGCTACAGGAAAGATATATCAACAGATTTCTATAAAAATTAAATAAGAAAAACAGTATTTGCAGAAATCATTGGTGGTGTTAGTTCTCTTCTGTTGAGATTTCAGCTCCTGCTGGCTGTGGTCATCTCAGTTAGTCATTGCATATCTTCAAAAACCACAGTTCCAACAGAATTACTGAAAAGAGTTTGTACTGCTGCATCTTTATCACACTTCAGGGAATCATCTCAAAAGAACAAGCATCAGATCTCCAGAGGCAGAAAAGATGTGTACCAAAAGACATGTGATCTCCATCTTACAAACATCTTTGTACACATCAGGGATTTAAACTTAGGTATTACACACATACCTTGTTGCTGTTAGAAGACCTATGAAACTCTAGCAGAAAACTGCTGAAAGGCTATAAGCTGAGAGTCTGCAAAGTCAGGACAAAATTCAGTTTAAAAGGCTCGTCTCTTATACCATACCCAAACAGTCAGATCCTCTTCTGGATAGACCATATGGCTTTCCAATGGCTTCATGATCCCTGACGAGATGGTGTTCCCCAAAAGGAGCCAAAATGGCTTGGAAAGCAATAGGACACACCATGGAAGATGCTTTTATACAAGCAGGTGTTCATTTGAGCAGATTAACCACCACACCATGAAAGGCAGGCCAGCTTTTTTTAGGAGATATTACCATCATATAAAAAACAATGTACACTTAACAGTATCTTCGTGCATTACTAGCCACTGCTGAGGTGCTCATAATATCACGAACCCAATTTTGACAACACAGGTCTACATTCTCAAAACGTAGCTCAGTAAAGCAAACTTTGTAATCCAATTCATGAAGAAAATGCAGGCCACAGAATGCTGAGAGCAGCAGATTGGTGGGGTTTTTAACCTGCTTGATCTTTTGAAGGTTTTCCCTTTCCAAAAGAGACAGCATTAAAGGTCTTGTGATGAAAGTAAAAACTGCTTCAGAACAAATTCTGCCAGGATTTCACTCTTTCTAGGAATTCTGCCTTAGCAAGCCACCCCTACCCCACCTGTACAACAGACACAGAGACATTCCACCTTACAAGCTCATTGAAACTGCTGGCCTTGTAACTCTTAACTCCAGGGCAAAGCAAGATTCTAGACTTAAACTGATGAGCAAGTACAGCTAAGGAAGTCCATCTGACAGACATGGGTGGGCAATAGCCCAAGGCAGATGTAAATTTTCCATCAAAACTGGGGGTCCAACCCAGACGACATCCTTTGCAACTGTGTGGTTTCTCCCCTGCAATCACTCTTCTGTTTTTGCAGTATACTTTCTTCTTCCATGCAGTTGCCAAGACACAGGAAGGACCAAACCTATCAATCACAAGATGCAGAACTGCCCTTCTCCAAAGACCCCTGACGATCTCAACTTCATTCTCCCTACCAGGAAGATATTAGGAAACTTGCGGTTTCCCTCAATAACACATCACCACTTTGTCCCCTTAGGAACTGCTTTGCTCCTCTTCAAAGGACTCTTCAGTAGAAGGTATTTGCTGTGATACGTCTTAGACACAGTCACTGACAGAAGTTTCTGCTCAAACTCTGACACCTGTGCC